AAAAGTTCCAGCAAAGCAGGTTTTTTTTTTATTTTTTTGATTAATTTTTATTTATTTATGATAGTCACAGAGAGAGGCAGAGACACAGGCAGAGGGAAAAGCAGGCTCCATGCACCGTGAGCCCGACGTGGGATTCAATCCCGGGTCTCCAGGATCATGCCCTGGGCCAAAGGCAGGCGCCAAACCGCTGCACCACCCAGGGATCCCCAGCAAAGCACGTTTTAAAGAGTCTATATGGTCAACCACATTCTTGTCTCACTTATGTAAATAAGTAGGCTACATTTTGTTAAAACTGGAATTATTTTACAAACAAATTAGTCTTAAGTTAGCTATCCTTGATGGAAATTAGGGGACTTTTAGAGAAAAATCATTGTTTCACTAACACATTTTTGTGACCATTAGCTTCTAGTTCTGATGGTCTTTGAGTGTATGCAGTTTTCTAATGAAATGGCTGGCTCCTGAATTCTTTCTGGTTTCCTTGAGTATCTTACAGTGACTCTCCAAAGAAAGGTTTCCCATTTTGTCCCATTTTTCTCACCTGGAGTCATTGGGAACGGAAACTACCCTTTTGCCCTGAAGCTCTGGAGAAATGAAGCTGGACAACTTGAGATAAACTTCAGAGAAATTGCCACAACAGCCCATGATTAGACAAACGATCACCAGAGACATTCAAATGGCAGAGCAGGAAAACACATCAGACTGCCACTGGCTGCCCCCAGTCCATTAGCGGTGGGTAGGGGCCTGGCTTCTAGAACCCTCCCTGGTAGCACTGGGATGGTCATTTGCTCCAACCATTTACCTGTGTTTTCCTAGAAATGTCTCTTATTAAATACCTGATAGCTTATAAAGTCCAGGCCCAACTTTGGGAGCCCTGCTTTGGAAATGAGGCAACTGTTAAACTGGATTGACTGCCTCTCAAAACCAAGGCTGGTTCATAAAGTATGGAGCCCACTTCTTACCTGAGGTCCAGAACAGAACTTTAAACTCCAGCCATGAAGGAACAATGCTGATTTGTGAAGTTTTCCTGAGAAAATATCTTGATCGAAAGGGGAGATTATGGGATTGCATAAAACCTCTGGACATGAAAGACCCCATGTTCCTTTCCAACTAACCAACTCCCAAACTCCAGAAATAGCAATTGTGTGACAAGTGGTTGCTCCTGACATTTCAACAGAGCAACTGGTGTTTGGATCAGAGGAGGACAGCAAAGTTAGTGAATACATAGCAGGGACAGTTTCTTTTGATAACACTACTACCAATAAGTTAGTCATCACAAGCAGTTGAACTGCTCAGCACCAACACGGGTTTTTTCCCCCCCTCTCCTTTATGTAACCCTATAATTACCTCTTCCTTTCTTATAAAAACCCCCTTGCTTTCCCCGCACCAGTGGCACACTTTCCTGGTTATCCCAGAATCTGTGCCCCACAAATTGCAATTCTTTTTTTTTTTAATTTTTGTTTATTCATGAGAGACACGCAGAGAGAGGCAGGGACACAGACAGAGGGAGAAGCAGGCTCCCTGCAGGGAGCCCAATGTGGGATTCGATCCCAGGACCCCAGGATCACGACTTGAGCCAAAGGCAGATGCTCAACCACTAAGCCACCCAGGTACCCCTCAAACTGCAAGTCTGAGATCCCAAATAGAGACCTTTGTTCCTTTTCAGTTTTGCCCCCTTTTCTCAGGAGACAAAACAGCCTCACACTCTCCATTCCCTCAGCAGCATCCTCCAGTCAGGGAGACTTCTGGAAAGGTGTCTCTTCCCTACTCTGAGACCTGGAAACTCTCCAAATAGTAACCTGGGGCAATCATTCTGCTCCCCTAACTGGTTTCCCTGTTCTTAGAGATCACTGTTTTTTATTATATGATTTGTTTTGAGCACTGTTCTTTCATATGTTTTGTTCCCTAACACCATCTCCCCCCTTTATTTTTTGGTTGTTTCAAACACGGGGGTAAATTGGTCCCTTCTCCTCCACCTTGGCCAGACATGGAAATATATGAGCCATTTTTGAAGCTTTTGTTTCCTAGTTATTTTTGGTTTTAATTTACATTTCTCTCATCTAATGCTGGTGTGGGACACTTTTTCATGTGTTCATTGGCCATTAGTTTGTCTTTTCTGATGAAATGTCTGTTTACACTTGTGCCTTTTTAAAAATTGTGCCTTTTTAAAAATTGGGTTGCTTATCTTTTTATTCTTGAGTTGTAGGAATTCTTGTGTTTTATATCATGGGCATGAGTTTTTCATCAGATATGTGTTTTACAAGTATTTTCTTCCTGTCTATGGCACACCTGTTCATTTTTCTTAAGTCTTTTGTTAAGCAGAAGTTTATTTTTTTAATTAAATTTTTTTAAGCAGAAGTTTAAAAAGTTTTTGATGAAGCCTATTTTGCTAATATCTTTTTCATGGTAATGCTTTCCATATCATTTATAAAAAATCTTTGTGTACCTCCAAATCATGAAAGTACCCTTCATGTTTCCTCCAAAAACTTTATAGTTTTGTGTTTAAGTTTATCTCAGGTTAATTTTTGTATATGGTGTAAGCTAGGGATAAAGACGAATTGTTTCCCCATATGAACGTCCAGTTGTTCTAGCACCATTTGTTGAAAAACAACAAAGGACTTCCATTGTGTTTTTGTTTTTGCATTCTACTTTAAAATATTTTCATTTTTTATTATTAATTTAAAAAACTTTAATTCTAGCATAGGTACCATATGGTGTTGTATTTCATTTCTCTCATCTAATGCTGATGTGGGGCAGCATTAGATGTAGTTTCAGAAGTACAACATAGTGATTCATCTGTTCCGTACATTACTCAGTTTTCATCATGAAAAGTGTCCTCTTAAGCCCCTTCCCATATTTCACCTATGTCCCCACCCACCTCCATCAGTTTGTTCTCTAGAGTTAAGAGTCTGTTTTTTGGTTTGTCTTTTTTTTTTCTTTGTTCTTTTTTTTTGTTTTGTTTCTTAAATTCCACATATGAGTAAAATCATATGGTATTTAGCATTTGTCTTTCTTTGCCTGACTTATTTTGCTTAGCGTAAAGACACTCTAGCTCCATCCATGTCAGTGCAAATGGCAAGATTTCCTACTTTTTTTATGGCTGAATAATATTGCATTATATATATATGTGTGTGTATATATATATATACACACACATTTATATATATATACACACCACATCTTTATCTATTCATCAGTTAATGGAGACATGGGCTGTTTCCACAATTTCGCTATTGTAGATAATGCAGTGCATGTATCCCTTTGAATTAGTGTTTTTGTGTTTTTTGGGTAAATATCCAATAGTGTGATTACCAGTTCATAGGGTAGTTCTATTTTTAACTTTTTGAGGAAACTCCGTACTGTTTTCCACAGTGGCTGCACAAGTTTCCATTTCCACCAACAGTGCAGAAGGGTTCCATTTTCTCCATATCCTCTCCAAAACCTGTTTTTTCTTGAGTTCTTCATTTTAGACATTCTGACAAGTGTGAAGTGATATCTCATTGTGGTTTATCATTTCAAATGGGTTCTATTCGATCCCAATCTAACTTTTCAGTCCTTTGCTTTTACCACACTGTCTTCATTCTGTAGTTCTATAGTAAGTTTTAAAGTCAGGTAGTATACGTCTTCCAACTTTTTTTTTTTTCAAGATTGTTTTAGCTATTTAGGTCCTTTGTATTTCCATATGAGTCTTAGAATAAACTTGTCAGTTTCTACAAAAAAGATCTTAGTGAGATTATGATTGGAAATCCACTGAATCTATTGACTCAAGAGATCAATTTGGGAAGAATTGACATGTTAACAACCAAGTCTTCCTACCCTTGATATTTTAGTGTTGCTATTTATGCAGAGTTTTAATTGATATATAATTGAATTTTGATGGAATATTCTGGGTTTGATACTCTCCTAGGATTTTATCCATTTCATCGACATATTTAAATGTATTGGCAGAAAGATTTTTATAGTATTATTATATCTTTTTAATGTCTGCAGCACCTATAGTATAGTGTCTTGTCCCCGATAATAATGACTTGTGTCTTTTCTCCTTACTTTTTTCCTTGACTAGTAATATCACTACAGCCTTTTTTATTTTGCTTTGGTCTTTTCAAAGAACTAACTTTTGAGTAGATCATTTTGAATAGATCTCTATTGCATGTTTTCCATTTTATAAAATCCCACTCTTTATTATTTCCTTTGTGTGTGTGTGTCTTTATTTTGCATTTCTTTTTCTAAGTACTTGGACTCAATATTTAGCTCATTAAATTTCAAACTTTCTTCTTTTCTAATGTGAGTGTTTCCCTGTAAGTGCGGTTTCAAATGAATCCCTCACATTTGATGTTTTTACTAGTAATAGTTCTAAATAATGTCCTATCTATTATTATTTATATTTGACCATTACATTATATCAATATATGTCTCTTAATTTCCAACCATGAATATTACTGGTTATCACTTTGTTTTTTTTATTCTGAGCTTAGTCGCATTATGATATGTGCAATCTTGTATCTCCATATGATACTATTCCTTGGACATTTATGGAGATGAAGCCTGTGTATGATCAGTTATTGTAGCTCTTACATGTGTGCAGGAAAATAATGTATAATCTGCAGTTGTTGAGTGGTATGTTATATAGGATACCTATTATCTATCTACATCCTTTTTTTTTTTTTCCAAACAGGAAGATAAATTTGGTGCCTGTTAACCCATCGTAGCCAGAAATAGAAATACATGAGTCATTAGTCATTCTTAATGCTTTTGTTTCCTACCCATTTTTGGCTTTAAGTTCTAGTTCTCTGATGTCTAATGACAATGTTGGGCACTTTTTCATGCGCTCATTGGCCATTTGTGTGGGTGTGTGTCGGATATCCATCAGGTCACGTTTGGTAATTGTCTCCAAACCCTCTTCATCGGTACTCATTTTTTTTTTTTTTTTTTTTTTTGTTTTGACATGTCCCAACATTTATTTGTACCTTTGGGGGCTGCTGTTTCTCCAACCGTGGCTCAAGTCAGCCTGGAAGCGGGGCACCTCTCGCTACCGCATTCTCTCCAAGGCCCCTGCGGCTGAGGGAAGGTACTGCCCCGGGTCCGGGGCTCAGTGGGGCCAAGCGCACGGAGCAGGCGGAGGAGGAGGGGACGCGGGCGAAGGCTGGGTCACAGGTGCAGGCTCGCGGCGGAGGGGGGGCGCGGGGGCCGGGGGCGGGTGGGGCGTGGAGCAGGGGCTCGGGCCTGGAGGCGGGCGGGGGCCGCGGGACCCCCGGAGCGGCGCGCCCCCCTCCGCGGGGCTGGGGCCGGGAGCGCAGCCGGGGCGCGGCGGGGCGCGGCGGGGCGCAGAGGCCTCCAGGGCGGCTCCGGCGGGGGGCGCGGCGGGAAGGAGCCTTCCCCGAGGTAACGGGCGGGTCAGGGGTCTTGCCAGTCTCCCGCCTGGCGGCCGGGCCCCCGGGGAGGTGACTCCCTTTCCGGGCGATTCCCAGCGCGGCTGCCGGTGGATGCTGCGTCCCGACCCGGTGACTCCGCCGCCCCTGGCGCCCCGCGGTGTGCGGCCTCCCTCCTGCCGCGCCTGCGTCCCCGGGGGTCCCGGGGCCCTGGTTCGCCTCCAGACACCCCCCTGGTTCGCACGCAAGGGAGGCCTCGCTAGCTGGCGCCCTGCTGTGCCCGCGCCCCCGGACCGAGGGAAGTACCTTATCTGCTGCTTCTAGAGTTACTGAGAGGAGTGTTCGAAAATCTACTGTGATTTTGAATTCACCTGTAACCCCTTACAGTGTTGCTGGTATATGCTGAGGTTATTCGTAGTACATGCAAATTTAAGATTGTGCTGGTTTCTGGGGCGCCTGGGTGGCTGAGTTGGTGAAGAGTGTGTTTTGGGCTCATTTCATGATCCCCGGGGTGTCGTATGGAGCCCAGAATTCGTCTACCTGCTCCTCCCTCTCCCCCTTCATCCCACCTCGTGCTCTGGCTCTGGCTCTTTCCCATGCATGCTCTCTCAAATAAATAAAAATAAAGTCTTAAAAAAGTTTTGGGTTCTGATGAATTGCTCCTTATATCTTTATGAAATGACTCTCTGGCAATAATTTGTTGCTTAAAACATGCTTTCTTTATTGTTAATATGGCTACGTCAGTGTGCTCTTGCTTAGAATTTGCCTGATAACTCCTTTATACATACATTACATATGTATAAGTACATAAACAAACACATGCGTATTTCAGGTCTCGGACACATAGAATTGACTGTGTCAATTAACTATAGCATTATTATAGTTTTTTAGTTATAGTTAATTATAGTCATTAACTATAACATGATGGACCTTCTCATGCAGTCTGTTTGTTTTTTTTGCTGGTCCTTGCTTTAATAATTGTGCACTGTGAGCTGCTAGATACTCTGGAACTTTGCCTGCAGAAGTCATTAGCCAAGTTAGAGCCGGAGCTCTCCAGACAGGATCAGCATTTGCTTCTTCCAAGTTTATGTGAGCTATGAGGCTAGGATTACTCTAAATATTCAGCAAGAGGTTTGTCTAGTTCCCCAGATAGTGTGAATTCAGGCTGAAAAAACTCTTAGAGGCCAGATTCTGTTTTTTTCTCTCTTTTACTTAGCACTAAAATTTGAGCTAAATTTTTTTGCCTATCTCCTGGAACTGAGGTTCCGATGGTAGAAGTGGGAGATTGAGGAGCAAAACCATTTTATTCCTACATTCATTCCCAAAGTGGTGGTTGTACCCACTGGGATCACTTTTGGGGGAAGATCTCCTGTTAGACTCCCCAGCTTGGCAGGCTCTCTCTGGGTTGTGTCTCTGGAGCTATCTGAGGCCATGAATGCAAAGATCAGGGTCCCTCTTCTCCCTCCTTGTTTGGGAAATGGCTGGCTACAGCCTTTTTTGTATTCATTCTCTGATTTGATAATTCCTTACTTTTGTGACAGCTCCTTGACTCTCTTAAGATTGTCAGATTTTTAGTTTTTTTTAACAAGAGAATTCATTCAGGTATTTAGCCCATCACCTTATTGGAAACAATCTAAATTTAGTACATGGTACCTCAAACTCTTAGACTCCTTATTTATGCTCTTTCCTCTCAAGTAATTATATATGTCAATACATTATGATTGAGAAAGTTTGTATTAAATTCTGTGCATATTAATTAGGAAGGTGGTAGGCTTTAGTGGTGAAGTACATGGTCACCATTTGAGGAATGTTCCTAGCTTGGATCAATTTTTAAAAAGGTAACCACAAAGTTTTGAAGAGGATACCAAAAGGAACTTACATCTGTTGATTCGAAACTGCCTGGGAAACTTTACACTTTTTATTTTTAGCTTTTGCTTCCATTCAGCTTATATTTCTATTGTAGTAGCTTTCTTCCAAAACCAAAATCATGCAAACAAGCTATGGTGGGTTGATGATTGCACTTAACCCCCAAAGACATGTCTATCAGAACCTCTCATCTAATTTGGGAAGACGGTCTCTATAGATATAATATTAAGCATCTTAAGAGCAGTTCTCCTGAATTATCTAGGTAGACCCTAATCCAATGGCAAGTGCCTTTATAAGAAAAGGAAAAGACACAGAGGAGAAATACAGATTGTAGGTGGTGTGAAGACAGCTAGAGACCAAGGTGATAAATCCACAGAAGCTAGGAGAAAGGCATAGACACTCCCTACAGCTTCCAGTAGGAACCAACCCTTGATTTCAGACTCCTGGCTTCTAGAACCACAAGGGGACACATTTCTGTTACTTTAATTACTACCTAATCTGTGAGAACTAGTTTTGGCAGCACTAGGAAACTAATAACTGGGTTTTTCCACTCTCTCTGTTCCAGTAAGTTTTAAAAGTCTATAGTCTAGTTTCCCATCAGTTATGATCAGGAAATGACAATGAGGTGACAGACCTGGAATGGAACTTCTCTGGAGGCCACTCCATAATTTAGTTTCCTGGTCATGAGGAGTAAATGCTTAAAGCTTTTAACTAGTATAAAGCTTTTCTGGCATTCAGGTTTGACTCTTGCCATCAGCTCCTTCATTTTCCTCATCTATAATAATATTTCTAATGCTTGACCCTTCCTGCTGCCCTCTCCTTCACCCCTCCTTCCCATTCTCCTCCATACATATATATATATTTTTTTCTCATACATATTTTTAAAAGGCTCTCCGAAACATCCACAGTGACTCTGAACTTGGCAGAAGAGTCATTCTTATCCAGTGAAGACCAACAACAAAATAGCTCCTAGAATTTGGATAGCTTTATTTATCATCATAGCAGCTCCCTGAGGTAGGTATCGTCAGGACCATTTTATAAAAAATGACAGTTTTCTCCCAGTTAGAATCAAAGAACTGCAGCCAGAAGGAGCCTTGGAGCCGCTGGCCTGACTGATTAATTTGTTAAACAGTTTTGAGTGACTGTGATGAACTAGATTCTAAGATGCTCTGGGAGTCAGATGCAATCAATTTGTCCCAGGCTTCACCAACTAGTGAGCAACTATGGATTGCTATTAGCAATAGTGTAGTAATTTTGTAGCATTAAGAAATTTGATGTTAATTTTAAACCCAGGTAATTATAAGTAGGCATCTTTTACACACTCCAAAAAATGTAAATGGACCAAAATGTGTTGTAGAGCCCTATTTCTTTTCTTTTCTTTTTTTTTAAAGGTGTTTTTTTTTTAATTTTTGTATTTATTTATGATAGTCACACAGAGAGAGAGAGAGGCAGAGACACAGGCAGAGGGAGAAGCAGGCTCCATGCACTGGGAGCCCGACGTGGGATTCGATCCCGGGTCTCCAGGATTGCACCCTGGGCCAAAGGCAGGCGCCAAACTGCTGCACCACCCAGGGATCCCCCTCTTTTCTTTTTTTTTTAAGATTTATTTATTTATTTTTATTTATTTATTTATTTATTTATGTATTTATTATTCATGAGAGACACACGAGAGAGACAGAGAGATAGAGCGAGAAACAGGCTCCTTGCAGGGAGCCCAATCGGGGACTAAATCCCTGGCGGGAGAACATGCCCTGAGCTGAAGGCAGATTCTGAATTGCCGAGCCACCCAGGCGTCCCTAGAGCCCTATTTCCATGTCCTCTGCTACTTTTCTCTAATAGACCCCATATTGTACTGTATTAGTACTGTTATTTCTAGGGCAGTGTGTCTGTGACCCTCTAAGCATGACAGTATTTGTGATGCTCTCATTTTATGCTAACCGAGATTTAATTTAAGTATTCCTTGAGCATTTTTTTTTTCAGTAATGAAAACAATCATTTATTATTATGGTCACAGAGTGTGTGGATCAGGCATTCTCAGATAGGGCACATGAGGAACAGCTTGTTTCTACTACGTTGCTGTCTGCAGCCTCAGCTGGAACACTGGAGAACCTGGGGATGGAAACATTGGACAGCTTGCTCCCTCCCATGTCTGGGGAGGGTAGAGGCTTAGCCCTTAGCTGGAGTTACCAGACACCTTCTGTGTGGTTCATTCAAGTGACTCAGGTTCCTCCTAACATGGTGACTGGCTTCCAAGGACAGGCCCAAAAGAGAGAAGGCCAGGTGGAAGCTGTGGTCTTTTACTACCCATGTACCCTCACGAGTTAAATTTTTAAAGTATGCCTTAAAATGAATGATGACTGATTAAACTGATATGAACAGTCAAATCCTGCTTTCTGTTTGATGTGTGTATATTATATATTTTTCTGTTTTGTTTTGTTTTTACTTTCAACCTACCTGTGTCGCATCTGAAATGAATTTTTATAGATAGAAAATTATTGGATTATGCTTTTTAAATTCTCTCTGCCAATATCAGTTATTTAATTGGTATATTAAGACCACTTACATTGAAGGTAGTTATCAGTATGTTAGATAGAGCTTGGCTATTCTGTTTTGTTTCCTCTGTTTCTTGTTTGTTTCTCTTTTTTGTACTTCTTGTGGGTTACTTGAACGTGTTTTTGGATATCATCTTGGCTGGAACTGAAAGCTGTGGAGTACTTTTTTAATTGTGGTCAAGTATATATAACATAAAATTCAGTTTCTTAATTATTTTTAAGCATGCAATCAGTAGCATTAAGTACATTTACAAGGTTATGTAACTATCACCACTATCTGCTTCCAGAACTTTTTCATCATCCCAAAGAGAAACTATGGGGGCACTTGGGTGGCTCAGTGGTTGAGCATCTGCCTGTGGCTCAGGTCGTGATCCTGGGGTCTTGGGATCGAGGGAGCCTGCTTCTTCTGCCTGTGTCTCTGCCTATGTCTCTGCCTCTCTCTCTGTGTGTCTCTCGTGAATAAATAAAAATAAATCTTTTTTTAATAAACTATGTACCCATTAAGTAGGGACTACCTGTTCCTTCCTCCAGCCCTGGAAGCTATTCTACATTCTGTCTCAATTTGCCTGTTCTAAGTATCTCCCCTAAGTGGAATGGCACAATATGTGTCCTTTTGTGTCAGAGCGATTGCACTTAGTGGACCGTTTTCCACTTATATTCATGTTATAACACTTCTCAGAAGTTTATTCACTTTTCATGACCAAATAACATTCCGTGATGTATATAGACACCCCATTTTATTATCAACTCATCTGTTGATGGACACTTGGGTCATTTCTACCTTTTGGCTATTGTGAATATGTCCAGAGCAGCATGCTGATATGCAAGTATATGTTTGAGTCCCTCTATGCTTTAAATTCTTGCAGACATATACCTAGCAGTGGAATTGCTGGATCATCTTGAATAATGTTTTAAAACACAAAAGTTTCCCAAATATTCTGTAACATCAGGGAGATTATTTTTCCCAGAACTCACAATGGACAAAAAGGGACGATGTTACATAATGCCGCAGAACAGAATATTATGTCAAGATGTTATTCAAAGTTCTCCAGCCACTACTCTTATTACCTCCTAAGGCTTTCAGCAGTGTGAGTGGCAAAGGGAAGGTATTATTGGGGTTAGCGGCACCTAATGGTTTCGTTTTATTCAGGGTGACTATTTGGTGATTAGAGACTGGAGA